GCTTGTATAATAAGGCATTCAGTACATATACTCATAGGCTCACCTAAGAATATATAGTATCATCACAGCAGAATCATTAATAAACATTCAACAATAACATTGTAACTCACGACATTTAGTCTCATAAATTTCAACTTAATAGCATAGTCAAAAGAGTATGAAAATCAACTCAATACAACTTAAAAATCATCACTACTACAAAATGCACATACAACAACGCCAAAGTCACCACGGTTCATCCAAAAACCGTAGTGACATTGTTAAACTAATGCGCTACCATTTTATTTTTATTTTTATGTTGAAATTTTAAGTTTATAATTACGGTTAATTCCCTAACTGTGGTGATACACTCCAGCTTTCCTGGATTCGATTCTCAATTCCCTCATATAATTTATCCATTTTACTTTAATGCACGCCTTTTCAATTATATTTATTTATAATAAAAAAATAATAGGTATATCACTACAGTTCTTTTGTACAATTGTTGTTAGACACTGACGATTCTTTGTATATATTAAACACTAAGTATCCATTCTTCCACTGATAAAAAAAATAAACCCTAACACCAATTCCGTAGGGAAGAAGAAAACAATCATAACACCACACTCATTGTTGTCGTCCATTCTCGTCCCAATGTCTCATTCCAAGAGTGTAAAATCTCGGTCTGAAAATTTATGTGCTTATGACAGTCGTGTGGTTTCGTTCCTATGCAAGAGAGATCAAAATAAAGGAAGGTTTATTTTGGAGATATCCAAATTGGTGGAGTGGTGAAACATGTAATTTGTTCATATGGGATGATGAACAAAAATTGGAAGATTAGAGTACTATGATGTCAGAGTTGGAATCTGTTGGATATTTGAAGGTTATGTATACAAATTCAAAAAAGAAGAATAAGAATTTGAAGAACAAACTGAAGTCAGAGAGATTTTCTGGAAATTTGAAGATGTTATGTTTTCTTATCTTCTTTTTGTTTAATATTTACTTTGTTATAAAATGTAATAGTTGAATTAGGGTTTGAAATTTGAAAATGTTATGTTATCTTATATCCTTTATGTTTAATATTTTATGTATTTTGTTATGAAATGTAATAGTTGAAGATGCAGTTGACTTGACAGGAATATGCAACTAATGGACCATTTCTTACGAGTAAGTTCATTGCAATAATTTTCAGTTACAATAATGTGTTTTATAAATTTTGAAGTTTAAGCTGATAGGTTAAGTTGAATGTTTAAGTTGATAAACTTAAGAGAGTTAAGCAGATTAAAACTTCATTACATAAGACTTTAATTACATGATCAAAAACCATAATCAAATTTAAATCCTCTCGCTGAGATAAAATTAGACCAATCATAGTCAGTCTCATCATCACCATCAGAATCGGAAAAAATCATCGTTTTCCTTCTCTACCTTCTTCTTCATCATCTTCTTCTTCTTCTTCTTCTTTTCCTCACCCTGAGAGCTCTCATTAGTCTAAACACAACACTCTCTACAACAACATCTTAATTTTGAGGCTGGTTTTGCACCACAACACTCTCTGCAGTAATATTTAGATTCTCAATATTCTTGGTGGCTTGAGTAGGATAACACATGTTGATTCCTTTGGATGAAGTTGTTTTTATGTCTTGGTTTTTTTGCTTTTATGTTGTTCCTTCTGATTCTTCATCCTTATCTTGGAAGTTTAAAAACTAAGTTGTTCATCATTATTTCTTTAATTCTATATATTTTCTTTTCTCTTGGAAGTTGGAAAGATTGCATATCTCGAGCTGCTCAAATTTTATTATTTACTTAATGGAATTATGTACTTGTAAGTATAAGTTTTGATATCAATTAAAAATTGGTTTAGTGTTGAATCTGGTATGAAAATTTGATATTTATTCATATACTATATCACAATGGTTAGTATGAGTAACCGTTGTTATAATACATACGCTTTCCAGATTACTACGACGGTCACTAAACAGTGATTGTACGTACTACATATACAACCACATACTACATAACAACGCTTGGTCCCACGTGGTTATATATCTTTCCCAACCATTATTAAACGCCTTTTCCGTAATAGTGCATGAAGCTATATATCATTCCAAGAATCTATATTTATTACTCATGGTGTTGTATGAAACTTTCTTTACAAATCTTTTTCTCTCTTTGTAATCTCTATAATGTTGGGATTTTGTCTGTAAATATGCTTTGTCTTCTATGTATATTTATTACTCATGGTGTTGTATGAAGCTTTCTTTAGAAATCTTTATTGATATTTATCCTTTTTAGCTTGATAAGTGTTTGAGTTTGAGTTTCTATAGACATTAACGGTTTGAATCCGGATTTAGGATGAATACCTATTAGGTTCTAAACTCTAGAGATAGATTTATGCTTAATAATCACTTAGGTATCGACTCTTAATGCCCCCGTGTTGTTTTAGTTGCTTGAGAGATCGTCGGAGAAGAGAACTATGGTTGAGATCTCACTTTGTGTTAGAGATAACCGTTGTGTGAGAGATACGTGATAATATCGATGAGTAATTTAGGTTAAGTGCAACTGGGTAGTAAGTTTAAGTATCTGAAAGGTATATGAAATTCAATCTCGAGAGTTCTCTCTTCTCAAGAGAATGTAGTTATTTTCTGTTGATACTTTTTCTTTTCTATACAAACCAATCCAATTCAACACAAGCTCATAAACGCGAGTAATTGTCGAACGACAATTTAGTATGCACTAATGCATGTGTTAACGATATAACAAAACTAAATAAATACCTATTCTTGTTTGCTGCTTTACAGCAACAACAAATGCCAACGATCTCAAGTAGTAGGAGCCGGTACCTATTAGTTTATTTGTACGATCAACACCAAATGAAACATGTTCAACAGCTTCACAGAATCAAGATGTGTTTAAAATCTATCGACAATAACAATTAATTCCTCTTAGCTTTTGGTCTATCACATGTATTTCTCATTGTGAATTAGTTTCAACAAATGTTGCATTTCCGTGAATGGACCTTAGATGGTAGACTGGTATGTCGATCTTGTCTAACACACATACGTTATACTCGTAAGATTATCTGAATCTATATCTTTCAAAGCCGCCATTATGTACCTTGGCGCCCTGCACTATTTTGTCATTTCATTCACAAAATAATCTTTCATGAGATTTTAGACAATCTAATATGCGATGGCCCACTAATTTATAATATATTCCATAACTCTATCAATTTTTTGTTGCTACCTTTAACTTTTGAAATGGGTAAATAATAAAAAATAATAGTTTTGGCATTATTAAAAAATGTGGGATTTCCAGATACCAATAAATTTCTCTTAACTAGAGGTGTTCATGGTGTGGTTTGAGCGGTTTTGTCTAGGGGTGGCAAACGGGTATGCCCGTCCCGTTTAGGCCCGCTCCGCAAAAGCCCGTAAAAAATGGGGCATACATAGTTGAGGATGAGGACCTAAAACCTAGGCTCGCCCCGCAAAAAAGTGAGTGCGTGGCGGGGAAAGCCCGCGGGCACTGCACCTTTTAAGCCTAACAATTCAAAATTTTATGCTAATAATCATGCCCGCAAAAACCCGCGAAGAAAACGGGACGAGACGGAGCTGTCACATTAGAGGGTGAGGACCTAAATTCTTGTTCCGCCCCGCACTAAAGTGCGGGTAAAATGGGCATGCCCAACGGGTCGGACCCGTTTTACCACCCCTAATTTTGACGCTAAAAATCATTCAAACTGCAAGAGAAAAAATATGAAATTTGATTTAATTTGGTTAACTTTTAGAAAAAATCAAACGAAACCAATGTGGTTTAATTCCGTTCGACTGATTCTCTTTTTTACTAATATTTTATTTGGTTAAGAGTCTATTTGGTTTTTAAAAAATGGATTTTTTTTCTTTCTATTTTTTAAAATCGTTTTTTTTTTTAATATTATAATTTATATTTGTCTTTTGTAAATTAAAACAGTGATTTTAACATTCTATAACATAAGAACACGTGATTAAATATCAAAACACAGTCAAAATCGTAATTTAAAAAAAAAATTTACAAAAATTTAAATAACTTTAAAATTAAGTGATTTTTTTAAAAATTTAATATTCAAAATATATTTCAATAAAATAATGAAATATCAAGAATTATTATTTAAACCTATTTTTCATTTGAAACTTTTATAAAAAAATATTAATATTCTTTTCTATATAAAATTATATAATATTATAAAAATCATTAAAAAAAAAACCAAAACAAACCGACTTTAAAGATTATATGCAAAATCATCTTTCTAAAAGAAATATAATTTGATTTATAAGTTGGCTTAAAAATAATATGAAAATAAGTTCCATTATTTTCTTGTTATAACCGTTTCAATGCTGTTATTTTTAGTGTAACTCTTTCAAACTACAGAGACTCTCACTATCTCAAGAACAATTTTACTTCAACTTGTAAACCTTTGTGATTCATAAACCCAATTCATACACAGTTGAAAGTTTCAGTTGCTTAACTCTCCATCACACCTCTCTCTTACGGATTGCAGAATCAGGCAATAAGGGAAGGTACTTTCCTTTTCTCTTCTTATTTATCTTTCTTTTTATTCTTTCTTCTACTCCTCATTTATTTTTATTGGTTCTTGATTTTAAGTTTCGATTATCTTTTTTATTCTTTGATATGTTAATGAACTTTGGAAGGGGAAGAATAGACTGCATCTTTTTCATACTGACAGTGATTATCTCATTGAAACTCTTGTGTTTGATAGAAAGTTGCAATGCAATGATTTAGATGCTTTCACATGTAATGGAGATTTTGTGGTTATAACCATTGATTCAAAAAATAAACTACAATCATTTTTCTGTAATATCTGTCTAATTCATATCACGACTTTCCTTTTCAATAAATTTGATGTGTGCAACTGAGTATACTCTTAAACATTTGAAAACAACTTCTAAAAATTTTGATTTTTTTTAAGTGTAACCGTTTGCTTATTTTGCAAATCACCTTTATATGCAGAATTCGATTTTAAAATGGAAACATCTACGATAGGTGGTAATAGAGAGTCAGAGAAGATGAAGATAGATGGGAACAAGGATGTGGATCCTCAGCTATGGCATGCTGTTGCTGGAGGAATGGTTCGAATTCCAGAACTTAACTCTAAGATCTTCTACTTCCCTCAAGGCCATGCCGAGCATGCATATGAACCTGTCAACTTTCCTGCTGACATCAACATTCCATCCAAAATTCTATGTAGAGTTGCAGCTGTTCATTATAGGGCTGATCCCGACACAGATGAATTGTATGCAAAACTCAGGCTCGTTCCTCTGCATCCTAGCGATGTTAATTTTGATGATGACGCTGTTGCTGGCGTCGATGACAATCTGATGCAATCTTATTCAAAAACCTTGACACAATCTGATGCATATAGAGGTGGATTCGCTTGTCCTAAGAATTGTGCAGAAATAATTTTTCCTCCATTAGACTATTCAGATAAGCTTCCTTCTCAGGACATATATCCCGTGGATGTGCATGGCAAAATGTGGAAATTCAGACATATTTATTCGACGAGGAATATATTAACAACTGGGTGGAGTGATTTTGTAACCAACAAACAACTTGATTCGGGGGATTCAGTTGTGTTTGTGAAAGCTGCAAACAGTGATCTTCATATTGGAATCCGAAGGTCTAAAAATGGAAATGGATTGAAAATACGTGATAGGATTATGGATAGGGAAAAAGTGAAGGCTGAAGATGTTATTGAAGCAATACAACTTGGTGTCAATATACAGCCGTTTGATGTGGTTTACTATCCTTGGGTTGGTACTCCCGTGTTTTTTGTGAAAACCTCTTTAATTAGAACAGCACTTCAGATTGGGTGGGGTTGTGGAATGAGGTTCAAGATGGCCTTTGAAACGGAAGACTCGTCAAAGATAAATTGGTTAATGGGAACAATTGCTTCAGTTGAGGCTGCTGATCCAGCATGGCCTGACTCTCTTTGGAGACTTCTGCGGGTATAGACATGTTTATTATTACATCCTCCTTTTGAATTCAGTGAAAAGAAAATATAAATAATTGCATTGTTAAATTTGCTTTGACTAATATTTTGATATAATAATACTTTTAGGTTACATGGGATGAACCTGTACTTACAAATATGAAAATGGTGAATCCGTGGCAAGTCAAAATAACTTCAGACATGCCTTCCAAGAAGAAACGGAAATTGTCTCAACGCCCAACTTTCCCTATTGATGGCCAATTATCAATGCCAACTTTTCCAAACAACTTTCAAACACGAGAAACTAGTACTGCATGCATGCATGGAGCCAGGCATGACCATTTTAGTCACCTCAAAAATATTCCAGTATATAACCCAGCATTGCAAATGGAGAGCACCATTGAGAATAATTCGTGCTCGATACCTATTTCTACACAACCGTCAGAGAAACTGGATCATTTGAAGCCGGACCAGATTTTGCTTTTTGGAAAACCAATACAAGACCTGCTGAAGCGTTCCTCTGGTGAGAGGTTGGAATGCAAAAAAGATGCTTTGGCAGAAGAAACAGTGGAGAGTGAAGATTCAGGTAAGAATTAGAAATAAATAAAATGTAGTATCCTTTTTTGTATTACATATACTGGTTCATCTCATAGAAATTGATATATGTTAAAGAGGCAACAAGACAATTGTATTAGCAATGGAAGGAAGAAGTCTGATGATCATGTACTGCAGCTTACATTAGTTTTTTTTCATCATGTTGCAAAGTTTCATTAAGAATAAATGTGAGTGGATACTATAGCCATAATTTGCTATAAACATGATTTCTTTATAATAAGTTTTCAATGAATTCCAAGTCTTGTACAGTTTATTTCAATTCTGATTCATCTTGCATGGTTAGAAAGTATAATTCTTATTTTGTCGAATTTGTCGAATTGTGGTGTATGTCGAATAGTTTGTTGTATGAGTAGTAAGTTGTATTCGATAGAGTCGAATACAGCAGATATTAAAGTATGTCGAAATCATGTTTTAGGCTTTAGCATGTTTTGTCTATTTGGTCTTGGGCATTGTATGCCTATATAAAGGGCTTGTTAGTTTGTAATTTTACATATAACACTCACATTCAATGTAATACTAGATTTAGTTAGAATCACAACAAACTTTCAACATCTCTCTCTTTCTTTCTTCTTCCTCTTCCATAAATCATCTTTCTTGAAAACCTTTTGTTACAATAAATTGGTATCACAGAGCCCAGTTGCGATTTAGAGAGAATCTAATGACAAACGGAACAATAACGTCAACATAGTTTCAAGCGAATCTACCGGTGTTCAAAGGTGAAAACTATCAGCGGTGGGTTACGCAAATGAAGGTTATATTCAAATTTCAAGATGTTGTTGAAATCTTGAATGATCAAGTATCAGAACTAGAAACAAATGCGGCGGAAGCCCAGAAAATTGCGCATAAAGATCAAAGGAAGAAAAACGGTATAACCTTGTTCTTGACTCATTAGTGTGTGGATTATGATATATTTGAGAAGATAATTGAAGAAGAAACGATAAAAGAAGCCTGAGACAAGTTAAAGAACTTGTATGGTGGAGATGAGAAATTGAAGAAGGTAAAGTTGCAGGCTCTAAGGAAGCAATACGAGATGCTTCAGATGAAAGAAGATGAATCAATTTCTGCATATTTCTCAAGAATTATGATACTAACAAACCAGATGAAGGCATGTGATGAATCAGTTACGGATCTGTAGAAGATTGAGAAAGTGTTAAGATCTTTGACTGCAGACTTTGACTACATTGTTGTGACAATTGAAGAGGCCAAGACTATATCTGAGATGAAGTTGGAAGAACTTCAAGCTTCATTAGAGGCTCATGAGATGAGGTTGAAGCAGAGAAACTCAGAAAGAGAGAAAGTGGCTGAACAGGCATTGCAATCAAGATTCAGCAAGAAAGCTAGAAAAGAGAAGTCGAAGCAGCGAAGGAATCTTGCTAGTGATGAAAAGTCAAACAAGAATACTGATTCGATCAAGAAAGGTGTGAGCAGCAAGTATTCTGGGAAGAAAGTTGACACAAAAGAGGTGCAATGTTACAATTGTCAAGGTTTTGGTCATTATGATAGAGACTGTCGAAGAAAGAAAGTCGTGAGGGAGAAAGATAGTGATGAAGCTCAATATGCACGAGCTGAAGATAGTGATTTTGATGATGTGTTGTTGATGGTGAACACTCAGTCGAACATTGAGAAAAACAACATGTGGTATCTGAATTCAGGATGCAACAACCACATGACTGGCAATAAAAACTAGTTTACCAAGTTAGATGAATCAGTCAAAAAAGTGATAAAGTTTGCAGATGGCAGGCACATAAAATCAGGTGGTAAAGGAGATATTTTGATTGTCAGAAAGGATGGTCGAAAAGCGCTACTATCACTGAAGTATTGTATGTACCTTCTGTAACACCTCAATTCTACCCCAAGCAATTTATGCAAAATAAATCAAAGTTATAAAATTTCAATCATACAAATGAATCGGGACGTCACAAATTCTTCTAACAAATTCATTACATTCATCATGGATATATAACACTTTTTCAAAACATTGGATGAACTAACAACATAACATCTTTCATTAAATATTCAACAACTACGCAGCGGAATTCTTCAATAACATCTTTAAATAAAACAGTAACTTAGAAACATCTCATATTTAGTAAATAAACAATTTAAACTTCAACAACTAAAAATCAGCAATCAAAAATCAGCAAGCGTTCATCCCCCGAGTGTTACATATCAGAGCAATGACACCGACTCGATCTATTGAAGGTATACAACCTTCACTCTCGATTACCTGCACGTTACCAACATAGGGGAAACATTCAAACAGAAGGGGTGAGATATCTAACAATATAATAAAGCGCATGATAATTAATATATTAAATCAGATCAATAATGTCACCACTTCTTATCTCATAATCAACAACAATTACAGCATATATACTCATTCATCAACATCAAATACATCTCATTATTCATTCATATGCTGCGACTCAAAACTATGCAAATGCATGTGGTACCATTGGAGCAGAACTCCCATCTCAAAAATCTAATCTTCCAATTAATAGAGGCATCAACAAGGCATAGCCTTCATCTCAAAATTTGTCAATCCATTCCATCTCAACGAGCATAAGCTCCATCTCAAAAATGCAATGTATGCCATGAATGTAATATCAACATCTCAATCATCTCAAAACACAACATCTCATTAACATCTCAGAACAACAACATCTCAATCATCTCAAAATAACAACATCTCATAAACATCTCAAAACAACAACATCAATCTAATCTTCCAATTAATAGAGGCATCAACAAGGCATAGCCTTTATCTCAAAATGACAACATCTCATAAACATCTCAATTACAGCATCTCATAAACATCTCAAAATAATTTATTAAACATCATTTATTTATCAAACGTCATTTGTTTATCATAAATTATCAAACACCACTTTAATAACCACATCTTACTAATAACTCAGTTGTATATTAATAATACAGTAAGCCATACTGTTATTCTGCAGTTCTACTTTGTTTTTGTCATTAATCCTACTGTCATATTTCTAACAGCAGTCTCTACCATCTCATATTTATCATTCTGTCCAAAATCCAGCATAATTGTCATCTACGGGAATTAATTCTAAATCCTAAGTTAGTTACTGGAATTACACCTCTTAATCATCATTTTAATCCTCTAGAATAGAGTTCATCGCGTTAGCTAATCAACGCTTCGAACGACATCTCAAACAACATCCTACAACTCAAGTTACAGCAATTCAAAATTGATTATGTCAAAATTATTCAGTATGGGTCGACACAAAACTCCTTAGATCGACTCATCCTGCTTCATTTATATGCTATGAGTCGACACATCCTCCTTATGGATCGACTCATTCTAGCTTTCAATACAACATGTATCAACACATGCACTCTTCGTGTTGACTCATCCTGAGTCTTGTACTCATCATGCATTGACACATCCTCTCATCGCGTCGACTCATCCTGAGTCTTATACTTAACATGCATCGACGCAAGCCTGCATGCATCGACTCATCCTGAGTCGAATATCCTTCATATATAGACACATGCAGCTTGGGGTCGACACATCCTTCGACAGTCTGCATAATTTTCTGCATTTTCTACTGTATTTTGCTACGTGAATCATATTACAGCCCTAAAAACCTTATTATGATCATGATAATTCATCACCTAATATTACACTCTATTACTCTATTGATCAAACAACATAATAACATTCTTATTCATTAAAAATTCATCAAATCTTAATCATACATCATTCATAATGCAATTTATGCAAGAACAAACAGCAATTACATCTAACCCCATATATCAAACATCATGAACCCAATTATAAAGTCAGAACCCAACCCTTACCTTGGATCGAAGGTCACTCTACAATTTCCGGGTTGAATCTTTGTTCTTGCCGTTTCCTTCAAAATCCAGTAGCTTCACGTTCTCCTCAAATCCTTATTTCTCTTCTTACTGCTTCTTCCTTCTATTCTAACAACAAATAATAAAATAACCTAATATTATTATATTATTCCTTATTGGGCTCAAGCCTACACCCCCTTATTACTTCCACTATCTCAAATTAAGCCCACCTTGATAATATTACACTTCTAATATTATTCCACATGATAATATAATACCTCAAATATATTATTATTTCTCCATTTAATAAAATAAATCCAATTTAATAATACTTCTTCACAATTATTCTAAAAATAATTTAATTAAATAATTAATTAAATTACGGGCGTTACACCTTCTATGACAAGTAACTTGATAAGTGTAAGTTAATTACTTGCAAAAGGCTTCAATATGAAGCTGGAGAAGAATAAGATGAAGCTATATAGGAATGATGGGCGGCTAATAATGAAAGCACCATTGGCGGAGAACAAAACGTTCAAAGTTGAACTCAACACATCAGATCACAAATGTCTTGCTTCAACTACATACGAAGACAAGAACTGGCTATGGCACCAAATGTATGGACATCTAAACTTCAGAAGTTTATGCATGCTCAATCAAAAAAGGATGGTGTTTGGGCTGCCTTATGTAAAAGAACTAAAGCATATGTGTGAGGAATGTTACAAAGCAAAGCAGGCGAGGAAGGAATTTAAACGCGACTTGCCCGTGAAATCAAAGTAAAAACTAGAGCTGGTTCATTATGATACGTGTGGATCTTTTGAAGTAAAGTCAAATGGAGGTAACATGCATTTCCTTCCTTTCATTTATGAATTCACCAGACATATGTGAATTTACCTTATTGAAATGAAGAGTGAGGTATTCACACAGTTCAAGAAGTTTAAGTTGTATGCTGAGAAAAAAGTGGCTACAAATTGAAGAAGTTAAGAACTGATGGTGGTGGTGAATATATGTTTGTTGAATTTGCTATATTTTGCAATGAGGAAGGTATAGAGCATGAGGTTATTGCACCTTATACGCCTCAGCATAATGGTATAGTTGAGAGAAATAATAGAAGTATACTGAAAATAACGAGAAGTATGTTGAAAGCTAAAGAT